AGTCGGAATTCTGTCCGTAATTCGCCATTTTCTCCATCAAAACTCAACTTGTACGTAATAGAAACATCATATTCAGAATCAGGATCAAAAGCTAAGTCCACTGGTGTGTATTTCGAAACGTTTACTTGGTTTTCATGTTTTGGTGAAATTCTCGATCAACGCGAAAATTCGAAAAAATCAAAGTACTCAGATAGAATAGCGACACACATCAGTGGACTTAGCTTTTGATCCTGATTCTAAATATGATGTTTCTATTACGTACAAGTTGAGTTTTGATGGAGAAAATGGCGAATTACGGACAGAATTCCGACTTTTTCGCCTCTGATATAGAAAAAACGTAATTTCTCAGCAATGGAAAGGAATGTTCAAAAAAGCGATCTATACCTTTTCCTCCACTGATATTATGATTCCAATGAAGATAAGAAAACTTTTTTATCTCTTAACCAGAAAAACTAGATAGGTTTGCAAGATGAACAGGGGCTCATTTCTGGTTTTACTCGGGTTTCTTAAAATCCCAGGTTTCTGAAAAATTAGGTTTAAAATGATAGATCAAGAACAAATATGAAAATTTTGGTTATTTCTCAGAATCTGAAGTATTTTTGCCTGCTTTTAAAAATCAATATTTTGAAAATTTTTCACACGAAAATGACTTCTGAAATTCTCAAGTCGGCTTTTTTCTTTCTAACTCGATGAGCTCTATCCAACTGTGGCAGAGAGAATGAAAAACAAATTCTGCTCCCTTTTTGCATTATTGGCACCTTACTAATATGCATCAAAAGTCTTTTCATACCTGTCTTAATAAAGCAGTAGAAGCAATCATAAAAAGAACTTCGTGTACAGTTACTAACATGAGTCATCATTCAGTAACCGGTGGTCAAAGAAAAGAATTGCTTGATCGATCGCAACAGAAAATGTATCTTCGAAAAACACTTTAATGAGTTGTCTCTAGCAAAATATAAATCTCTCTCAATATAATTCTGACAAAATTCTAGTAATTCTATATACGAATTAATAGCATTTGATAGGTTTCTAAACGATTTCCTGTGTTTAGTAGAATCCTATATGATGCAGGGTTACCGATTTAGTTTGCATATAGTCAAACGCTTTACGGCTAAAACGCGTAACTGTCGCCCTCAGCTGCGGTGAATTGAGCGATATTTTTTCTCTCAAACCATCCTTAAAAGCACATCACTAGACGCAGCTTTTTGCGCTGATTACGAATATCAACTTCAAAGCGAACGAAACTCAAGTGTTTAGATGGAAAATTCAAATTTGAAATTTAGAAGTTTTTTTATTTTAATTTTCTGATCTACTTAGGTTTCTAAAAAATTTCAGAAAGTATATCAGTGGACAGAGAATTAAATTCTCTACAAAATACACTATTCAGCTACAGATCTACAAAGCATTCAACGTGTAAAAGGAGGCAGCTGCTGAAAAAGAATCTTTTTGCAGCTACCAGATTGTCAACCGGGGTGTAGCCAATTGATCGTATCGTTCATAAGTCTTCTTTTCTCGTTTTTAGAATCTTTAATAGTGGTTGAACCGACGCAGGATCAACTATCCCGACTATTATCTATTGACTTATCGAAAATAACCCGTTTGATAGTTAAAAATAAATTTGAGTTTTGCCCCCGTGATGTGGAAAATGTATTTTCAAAACAAAGTTTAACGTCATTTACGGCGTCATCATTTTGGACAAATCCGACGTCAGATGTAAAATTCGATAGAATTCAAACTTCTAACCTCGAATATGCTTCATTATCTTGTTACTGGTTCCATGATTTCGTTAAATTATTGCAGTTTATGCCGAAAATTCGTCGACTAAAGATATTCATTGCATCCATTCGAGGTAAAACAGTTGTATATTGCTGTGTGTGATTCCTACATTTTGGATTCCGCTAATTTCATGGGTAGTAGTCCAAATATAAATTGTATAACGAATGCAGCTTTTTGAATTGACAATCCTTATGATTATTATCAAGTCAAATGTTACGAAGGATGGCTAACGGTTGCTTACAGAAACCGGTCTACTAACATTTTTTGCATAAAATGGAAGAACATTATCATATCTATCTCATATTTTTGTTCTAAAATGATTGGTATGACGGGGGAGGCTACGAGAAGTTGGATTTTTTTCAACATCACCATGCTGCTCGTAACTAATTAATTTGATAATGAAGTAGAAACATGTTTATAATAAATTATAGATCAATCGATAGAGACTTTAAAGTGCATCTGAAATATGTATAACAACTTATTTATCGAACGATTTGGTAAGAAATACTCTGACATAAGTGAAAAAGTGATGTCATTGATCAGAATGTCCTAGAGCAAAAATACGAGATAGACATAGTTACCACCATTTTATGCAAAAAATGTTAGTGGACCGGTTTCTGTAAGAAACCGTTAGCCATCCTTTTAAATATACCATTAAAATATTATAAAATAAAGATTAAGACGTTTAAAATAGTTAGTGGAAATATATCGTCGAATGCAAACAAATGATCTAAACTCGATAACTAGTGTTACTTTCAAATATAGATGTCATCAACCAATACCCACCAACCTTATTGGTAATACTGCTTTATCAACATATCCTAGTTAGCCATACTGTAGTACGGAGATGTTTGTCAATTCAAAAAGTTACATTCATTATACTATTTATAATTCTACAGACGGAAGTCGAACATGCAGTTTTGCACTTCAGCTTCAAGTTCCATATACTCCTGATCATCGAATAGTTGTATATCGAAACGTTTTTTTTTTGTCTTAGGAGAAACAAACAATGATTATCATCAGGATGTATTTGGTTTAGCTCCAAATCTGACGCATTTCATCATGACAAGTCGCGGTCCCAAATTTTCTCATATTGCATTATTGTTAAAACATTTGTCAGTGCCAAAACTGACATATCTATCATACACATTGGATTTTTCGGCTGAAATAATCGACGCTCAAGAGTATGAAAGGCTGTTGTCAGGTTTTCCTTCATTAAAAACATTTCATTTGAACATAATTATGGTACTGATAGATACAATTCGAAAATTTGATGAAGTAGTACTTTCATTTCGAACATCGTTTTGGTCCGATCATCAGTGGCTTATTCAATGTGATTACGTCGACGAATTGCATTACGGACGTATTTACACGCTACCATTTAATTTTGACCAATTTTTCACTTGTATGTCAATGAAAACAATGAAAGATGAAATCAGGTATATTTCAGTGTTCTTTATCTGCAACATAAACGTCTCATCATAACTTTTTAGATTTCCTATCGGTTCACATAGTAAAATCATCGATTTAGAAGTCTACATTAAATCGAGTACAGCACAAACAACAACTACAACTGCATCACCATCTCATCACTATCCAAATGTTGAATTGTTGACATTGACTGCCAACGATCGACACCGTTTGGGTATATTTACCTTACCTCTTGCGTCTTTGCAACAAATAATTTGCTGCTCAACGATTAAACATTTGAATATATATAACCTTGATTAAAGTAATCCCGGTATTCGTTTGAGCAGTTATTACATACGTCAATATTTTTTTGGATTTTTTTTCCATAATAATAAAAATAATTCTAGAATACTAGGGAATATGAATATAATAGGATAGGAACTCATCATCAGCGCGCGTCGAAACACTTCAGATAGAATGTTGCTTTCCAGTGGAAAAGGAAAATTTTTATGAGCTAATGCAGACTTTGTACTATCAGTGAGTTGATGCAGCGATAAACAACTTCAATGTTTATCTGTTCAGTCAAAGCTCGTACCACAAATGTACACATCTAAACGCTTAGATTTTTCTCTTAACTTTCTTAATTTTCTTTTAACATTTTATCGCCATAGTAGTTCCAGAAGAGCTAGTAATAAAACAACCATTAGAGCAGAGTATTGGTCTACTCAAGATGCTAATAGTATGTTCAGCTCGAGCAGATGCATTCGCGTTTCTGCATAGTAGTTTGGTTACTCCAGTGACCATTGGAGGGGAATAACTTGAAAAATCAAATTTTTTTCTCTTGCAAACAGCGTAGTAGTTTCACAAACATGCAATGTGTTTTCTTTATTTGAATAAAATAAGCAGAGACAAGTTAAATTCACGGTAAATGCCACTTTTTCTGGAAAAAAAGTATATGTTTTCTGGTATATTTGAAAAAATCATTTGTCAACTCCCCATTGCAGCCCTCCAATGGTCACTCCAGTGACCAGTCTGTTTTTTACTATCTTCAGCCCACTTATTTCTGGTGAAATCCTTGAAAGTCATTTAATTGACTAGTAGACACTTTAGCCGATATATATTATAATGCACATCAAGATAAAGTATTCTCTATGTACGTAATAAAAGAATACTAAAAAGGGGTTGAATTTTTTTTAGAATTA